TGGGACACCCGCTTATCGCCGTTTTAGTTATCGGACAGCGATTAAATTTAACGACTGAGCTCAACCGAGATTACATATTTTCACGACTTGGTATTATCAACTCGTTACTTCTATTTTGGACATAGTGACACCTGGTTTGCTGTTGCCCCCGGTAACTTGTAAACAAACACCGCTAAAAACCAAACCCGGATTACCTCCGCTTAAAACAGATATTTGAGATTAACATATCCACCGAATACAAATGATCGATAAGTAATATTTATTGTACAATGTCTCAAAATAAATCTGCATAACTTTTTCTATATTTCTTCCAAAATTTTGAATAACTTGACAATTCGATATTAACACCATTTGATCTAAATTGACAAAGCAAAGAAAAAAAAACACAAAAATATACAAAATGGTACACCAACATTTAGACGGGAAAAAATGTGCCATCCAAATATATCAAAGAGTTTATGGTTCAAAGGTTAAACATGAGCGAGACGTGACTCGAATTGACGTTCGATACAGATTTGTTTAAGTCGCTTTTCGACTAGCAATATGTTGACATAAGACTGATCATGAACCGCAACATTGTTTATCAGTGTCTTCTAAACATGGGTTCTTTACCGTTGCCAGCCGGCGATATACAAACGACGATACGGATTGTTGCTTCATTGATTTCACGATAGCATAGCATCTGCAGCAAGATTTATGTGAAAATATGTATTTTATAAGGGCATCTAAATTATCAAAGGAACTCCGTCATCATTAATCTAATTAACTTGTTGTTACCAATAAATATTTAACCTCATTAATCAAACACCAAGGCGTCGATTGTTATTCTAAATCACCTGCAAACCAAGTCTTTCACTAACTCATGTCATCACAGTCCACTGGACTGGATAATGAGTCGCCTCTCTCCGCTCCCATTCTCTTTCACTGTCCTACCCCCGAGGGGGAATTGAACAAGTAAACTTGCGTTCTAATAACTCGTCATTATAGTCGTAAGTCATCGGGGAATTCGTCTTTCGATTCTTATTGGCATTGTATTTCTTTCATCAATTCACTTTGACATGTTTGTAATCCCCAAGATGTAATAGATCTATTAACCAAGAATGCGTTTATGTTTTCCGACTTTTCGCCAGTCCCTTTTATGTCTGACGACACGAGCACATGGCTGACGAATTTTACATTTTCTCCGTCAGTAGGTCAATTTCTTAACATGCCAACACCACATATGTTCTATACTAGTATACTGCAGTTTATAAGTGCATTTATAATAACCAGGTTTGGAATCAGAGATTGTACTAATCGTACCTCAAAGATTGACGCTGGTCTGCCGCCCGAACACATAACTCCGACCTATTTCTATGGAAATGACACTTTTTGGTTTAAATGGCGATATTTCTTGGACGCGGAAAGGAGTTTTGTAAAAATTGCGCAATTTTTGTGAATATATGCCCTAATTAGGCCTCAAAATCCTTAGTTTTTTTGTTTTTTGTAGTCAGGCGCATGTCTGTCTGTCTGTCTGTCTGTCTGTTTGTTTATGTATCTCTCTTCTCTGAATGTAGCGGAATCTGGATGGGGTGCGTCGTTAAAACACCAAAACAACTATTTTCCCATGGTGAGTGCCCTCGTATATCGTTGCTTTCATAACCAGACATATATTGGTTAAAAGCGGATATCATCACGAGTAAACTTCATTTAGAGATCATATAAACACTTGTGTAAGCAAAGCTTTTAAAATTTTAGGTTTTTTAAAGCGGACGTGCAAATCCTTTGACAATGTCCATTTTATAAAAACTTTGTGTTCAACGTTAGTGAAAAGAAACCTTGAGTACTGTTCTCAGGTGTGGTATCCTTCACAAACATTTCTTGTAAATAAAATTGAACGATTTTAAAATCATTTTTTTATGTACAAGGTCAAATATATTATATTCTTCAAAAGAGTATGTATCACTTTGCAACCATTTCAACTTACCTACATTAGAAATACGTCGAAAGTGTCTTGACTTATATTTTTTCCACAAATCCCTTCAATCTTATTACGATTGCTCCTACATTTGATCTGGAATCTCTTTACATGTTGTACCCTCGTTCTACGAGGTTGTGTTCGCTTTTCCATGCCCCAAGATGTCGAGTGAATGTCAGGAAATGTTCATACTTTCTTCGTGTTACTTTCTCTTTTTGAATACAAATTACACAATTGATATTTTAAATTTTAATAGTTTAAAAACAATGTAGTCGCATTTTTTAGGAAGTATTTTTTTCTATTTGTGATTTTTAATATTTGATAAATGTTTTATTTGTGAAATATTTTATTGTACAAGCCTATAAGTGTTTTTTTTTGTCTGTTGGCTTTAGCTCAATAAAATGAAAAATCAAATCAAATCAAATCAAATCAAATCAAATCAAATCATTATGTTGTGTAAAGCACCATACATAAAAGCACGAGTTGGCTTACCAGAGAAATATTTGTTGAGAAATCGTAAGTAAATTTTTCAGTTTGTTATTTTCGTAACATCAATGAATACTATTCAATAAAGAGCAGTCTTGTACTCAAATAATGTCTTTAGATTTTTACGTTGCATATGTTAATATATAAATGATGACGATGACTCGTTTTAATTAATCACCGTGACTCACAAGCAATAACAAGCAATAGTTTAATTGCGGTACGTCTTGCTACCTAGTTCACAACAAATGGGTGTTACAGAGCTGCTACTTTTCCTAAGGTCCCGTCGTACAAAACCGTCTGTTTGTTATCAGTCTCTTATCCCCCTCAACACAACGAATGCGTGTTACCGGGTTGTTACCCTGGCGACGATTATGGCGTACACGAAACAAACATCAGGTTGCCAGTCATTTATTCGTCATTAGTCAACTAATGGGTGTCAAGAGGTTGTTTTCAAGTCTGTGTTACTGGCGTATATGAAAACAGCTCTTTTACTACCAGTCTGATATTTGGCCTAATACAATAATTGACTGCCACCAGAATTTACCCATCATGTATTCCTGGTGTACATGAAACCAACACTTTGTTACCAGTTCGTTATTCGGCCTAGTAAAACAATTGACTGCCACCAGAATTTACCCATCATGTATTCCTGGTGTACATGAAACCAACACTTTGTTACCAGTTCGTTATTCGGCCTGATAAAAAAAATGATTGTCACCAGAATGTTACCATCATGTATTCCTGGTGTACGTGAAACCAACACTTTGTTA